CTATGAAAGATAGTTGACTATTTAAAGTAGGAGTTGGCAAACTACAGCCCATGGACCAAATCTGGCCTGCTTATTTTCTTATAACCTGAAAGTTAACAAAGCTTTTCATATTTTTAAATGGCTGGGGAGAAAAAAATCAAAATAAGAGTGTTTTGTGACTCAAGAAAGTTATACTGTATCAAATTCAAGTTTTGTTCCATGGGAAAATTAAATAAAGGCTTACTGGCACACAGCCACACTCATCCATTTACATATTGTCTATGGCTGTTCTCGAGCTACAATAGTGGGGTTGAGTAGTTGTGACAGAAACTGTGGGGGCCCTCAAAACCTACAATATTTATTATCAACTGGCCCCTTCATAAAAACAGTTCACCAACCCCTGTTTTTAAACTAAAAATTTCAAAATAATGTATTCTAGAGTTTTAAAATATGCATAATTTCCAAATGTTACATATTACATGCTTCCAATTATATAACATTCTCAAAATGAACAAAAATATAGAGATGAAGAACAGATTGGGCAGTTGCCAGAGGACAGGGATGGGGGAAGAAAGAGTGGTAGGACAAAGGGGCACATCAAGGGAGTTCCTTTGTGGTGATGAACTAGCTCTTTATCTTGATAGTGGTGGTTACAGGAATCTGCACAAAACTCTACACACACACACACACACACACACACACACACACACACACACACACAAATACAAATGCATATATATAAAAAATGGCCAAAAAAAATTAGTTTGTAGTCTAGTTAACATTGTTGTGCTGATGCTAATTTCCTTGCTTTGAATTGAGAATCCAGAAGCAAAACTTCAATTTCTCAACCAACTCATCTTTGACAAAGTTCCCACCACCTACCACAGGGGAGAGGAGAACCTATTCAGTAAATGGTGCTGGGAAAACTGGCTGACCACATGCAGAAGACTCAAACAAGATCCCTATCTATCCACATACACAAAAATTAACACTAAATGGATCAGAAACCTAAATGTAAAACCTCAAACCATAAGAACCTTAGAAAATTCAGGACACACCCTTATGGAAAGTGGAACTGGCATCCAATTCCTGAGCAATACCCAGGGCCATAAGAGATAAGATAGACAAGTGGGACCTCATTAAACTGATAAGCTTCTGCAAAGCCAAAGAAACCATCAAGAGAGCAGGGAGACAGCCCACAGACTGGGAAAATATTTGCCAATTCCAGGTCTGACAAAGGCCTAACATCTTGGATCTACAAGGAACTCAAATGTGCTGAAAAGAAAAAAACAAACAACCCCATTACAAAGTGGGCAAAAGATATGAACAGACACTTCTCAAAGGAAGACATCCAAGCGGCCAACAGGAAGAAATGTTCAACCTCACTAATCATTAAGGAGATGCAAATCAAAACTACACTGAGATACCACCTAACTCCAGTCAGAATGGCCATTATCAATAACTCAGAAAATAACAGATGCTGGAGAGGATGTGGTGAAAAGGGAACATTTCTACACTGTTGGTGGGAGTGTAAACTACTGCAACCTCTGTGGAAAGCAGTGTGGCGATTCCTAAAAGCTCTAAATATCGACCTCCCATATGATCCCGCAATCCCCCTACCGGGAATATACCCTGAAGAACTCAAATCACTCTATAAAAAAGTTACCTGTACACATATGTTTATCACAGCATTGTTCACAATAGCAAGGACCTAGAACCAACCACACTGTCCATCAAGAGTGGACTGGATTAAAAAAATGTGGTACATATACATGATGGAATACTATGCAGCCATAAAAAAGAACAAAATCATGAATTTCGCAGCAAACTGGATGAAACTAGAGTCTATAATACTGAGTGATCTCTCACAGAAACAAAGATCAGATTATCACATGTTCTCACTCATATAGTGGACCTTGAATATCTATCATAATACTATAAGAAAAGGACTGACTGTGTGGAAAACTATGGGGGGGTAGGGAGGGGATGGGAGGTGGGACTAACAGTAGTAAATATCTGTCTGGGGATGGGCAGATATCCCTTATCAACAAGGGTGCCTGAATGATGCATATTTGTAAACTTAACCCTTAACTGTACCCCACAATTTTAAAATAAAAAATATGTTTAAAATGAAAACAAAACAAAACAAAAAAAACCCATAACATCATAAAAAAAAATTTCCTTGCTTTGATATTATACTACAGTTATATAAAATGTCACCTTTGGAGGAAGCTAGGTGAAAGGTACATGAAAATTTATGTACTATTTTTGCAACTCCCTGTGGTCTGTAATTATTTTAAACTTAAAAGTTTAAAAATACATACAGGAGACAAAACAATGATAGCAAAATTGTGGGGGAGAATGAAAATACACTGTTATAAGGTTTTTATATTACAAATAATGTGCTATACTATGTGATGGTAAATTGTGATGTTAAAGATATATATTTATAAACCTCAGGCCAACCACTTAAAAGATGAATATATAAATAAAATACTAAAAATTATTCAATTAATCCCAAAGAAGTCAGTAAAGGGAAAAAATAAGAGGAAAAATATAGAGCAAAGAGTAAAATGGAAGACGTAAGCCCAATTATGTCAATAATTATAATAAATGTAAATCGTCTAAACACTCCAATCAAAAGATAGATATTGTTAGATTGAATACGTACTTTAAATGTAAAGAAGTAGTTTAAAAGTATAGAAAAAATTACCATGCAAACATTAACAATGAGAAAACTGGAGTGCATATATTAATATATAACAAAGCCAAGGACAAGGAGTATTACCAAATTTTAGAAAGTAAAATCTCATGTTAACAAGATCAATTCATTAAGAAACATAACAATCCTCAATGTATATGCACCTAACAATAGAGCTTCAAAATACCCGAAGCAAAAATGACCAGAACTGAAGGAATGAATAAACAAATCCATAAGATCTAGAGATTTTAACAAGTAGAAAGTCAGTAAAAGACTTAAACAAGCCGGGCTCAGTGGCTCAGCCTGTAATCCCGCGCCTTTGGGAAGCTGAGGTAAGTGGATTGCCTGAGCTCGCGGGTTTGAGACCCGCCTGGGCAGTGAGACCTCATCTTTACAATAAATCAAAAAATCAGCTGGGCGTGGTAGCGCATGCCTGCAATTCCAGCTACTTGGAAGGCTGAGGCAGAAGGATCGCCGGAGCGCAGCAGGTCAAGGCTGCGGTGGCCGGGAGTGGCCACTGCCCTCCAGTCTGGGCGACAGAGTGAGGCTCCAACTCAAAAAAAAAAAAAGACTTGAATAATCCTATTAGCACTATTAGTATTTACAGAACATTATACTTAACAACTGTAGAATATATACTATTTTCAAGTACACATGGGATAATAAATTAGGAGAAGCAAATAACATAGAATACCCTTCATTATTACCACCATAAATAAATCAGCAATAGCAGCATTTTATTTTCATATCCCAATAATGTAAACGTCATGTAGAAAGCCAAAGAGTCAATGGGGTAGGAACGAACTAAATAAGAAACTAAATAAAGGTATAAAGGAAGTAAAGATCACTTATGAAGACAAGTTCAAGTTGTATAGTTTTTCCTGCTTATGTGGTTATCTAATAAAGTTATCTATATGGCTGTAAATAAATTACATTAACAAGGTTTGAAATTTACATATAAAGTTTAAATAGTTTAATCTCATTTAATGAATAGTCTGAAAATAATTCCAAGTTATTATTCTATAATGTAAAAATGTTTTCACGAGGAAGATTTTTTTTAATCATTAGAGTCAATGTGCAAACACTCATGTTAAGAAAAAGTGTAGGTAGTCTCATAAGAAAAAGAAATAGAAAAAAAGTATTGAAATAACATTTGTGTCAGAGTCTATGATACAGACGCTTCTGTTTTTGTTGTTTAATCAACATCTTTCTCACGTCTTCTTCTGTAGGGCATGTACATGTCTGTCTTCTTGCAGCATATATGGAAGAAGGCAGATCATGCTAGGTGGTACTACAGGAATCTAATGAAAACCAAATCCAAAGAACCCTACTAATCTCCAGTGGCTCCCAAAATAATAATGATGATGCTTTAATCAGGTGATTCTATCACCACTTTTAGATGTATGGATATGTTTACTTTCTGGAATAACAGAGTAATAATATTGACATGCTTGAAAATAATGGTTTTGAGGCAAACAGACCACAGACACCCTTTCATTGGCATCCTATTCCTCCCATCTCTCTTCCAAGCAATAAAGTACTAGATCATATTTCTTATCAAAGCATTCTCAACTCAGATCATAAAGCACCTCTTTAAGGTCTCTAAGATGAGCAAGCACCTAACCTAAGAAGTAACTAAATGCATTAAGCATTGCTGGTTTCTAGTAGGAAGTGTTTTTCTACACTCCTGATTCTCCCCAAACTATTTCTAATAGTGAGTTATAGGGATCTGATTAACTTTACACTTGGTGTTAAAAGCCTACCCTTTTTTTTTTTTTTTTTTTGCTCTCGTCATTGATGGTCCTCTCTTGACTCTTGTTGCTAAATATTCATGGAAGTATAGATTGGAGGAAAAAAACTGCAAAAACTCTAAAGGAAAATTTTTATATTAAAAACATGATACGCTAGATTAAAAAAAATTATTTTATGAAAATCACATTTTGAAGGAAGACTGAGCAGGCATTGCTTTCTTCTAATAATAAGCATACCCTACACTCCTACAGGAGGAGGGAGTTTTCACGTTTTTAAAAAGCATAAATTCTTTTAAGGCATGCAAATATGACATTTTATAGAAATAATGCATTCTTCTTTTAATGAATACCGATCAACTGTCTGCTAATTAGATATAGATGCCCCATAATATTTATACTTAATTTTTTACAGATGTTGGTGGTATACTCAATTACAGATCAGACAGAGAAACAAAACCCTATATAATGATCTCCATGTTCTGAAAGAATGCACTATACTTCATTTGGCCAGCATCTCAGAATTCAACTCCAAGTAGACCACTACTAAGAGACACAAAACCAACTCTCACCTTTACAGTCCTCCAACAAAAGTGAGTACACACGCTGTCGAACAGGCCGATAGATGAAGGCCTGGCTGGGCAGGGCCTGGTCCAGTTCGTCTTCCAGGGTGTTGCTGCACTCAATCTCTCCACTGCTCATGATGTTGTACACCAGGTAAGTTTCTGCCTGGAAATGATGTGTTCTGGCAACCTGCTCAAAATTTTAAAACACTGATTTATCCTTGAAAACAGAATGATAAACGTCAAATAGAAAAAATCAATACCTTTTATCATATGCCAGTTTTTTAAGCCCTCAGAAATGGAATAACTGATGCTCAAGCTCATGACATCAAGCTGGCACTTATGTTTTCAGTGTTGCTATAAAAGGCTTACTAACCCCCTAGCCCGTCTCTCCCATTTCCAACCTATCCTTCACACCACCACCATAGTGTCTCTTTGGCAACAAGTCCAGTTGCTACCCTCTTCAAAACAAAACATGTGACTGGCTACCATAACATTCAAGTTCTTTATCATAATATTCAGGTTCCTACTATAAGACTTCAATATCCTTTCCAACCTTATGCACCATCTCACCCTCACAGAAACTGTCAGAATCTAGCTTCAATGGAACATCTTCATTGTTCCTCAAGAATCCTCCATCCTCTCCCACCATTACTTGTCCTCCATAAAAAATCACCCCATCTGGAATATCTTCCCTTCCACTCTTTCCCAGACTCCCACTTCACAATCCTCTTTTCTTAAAGATTCACCTAACATGTCACCTTCTCCAGAACCAATCTCTGCTTTGCCTTATGGGGACCAATTCACATTTTCACTGTAGTACAGCTATCTTAAATATTACGCTATTAAACAATACACTGCTTGGTACTGGAAGCTGTACTGCATTCATTCATTCATTTGTTCAATAATTGTTCACTGAGTGAAAACTATGCACCAGGCACAGCTGTTTCTCCTCTGCTATGTCAAGACAGTGCTGGCCCAAGGTAGATGATGAGACATATGATTTAAATTAATTCCACTTTTTTGTTAAATCAGAAGGTCTATAATAGCCTATATGTAGGCTGTTTATTTTCCTGCAAAGATCATTCTTATTACCGTGAGAATAGTTCATCAAGATTACCATTCAAATTTTGAACCCAAGTAGTCATCCACTAAAGGTATTTAAAATGTGATGTTAGGAAAACTTAGAATTTCAGAAACTGTGAATCACCGTGTGTCTCATTTATATCTACTTAAGCAGCCCTAGTTATGTTAATTCATTATTATAGACTTGAGTCTTAATTGTTCTTCACTTTCTTCTTATATGAAGTGTCCAACTCACAGGACTGTTGTGAGGATTATATGAGCATGCAGCTTACTGACAAAGAGTGTTTTATAAGGTTATCATAAGACTACTCAATACTCACTTTAGAACCTAGAAATAGGACAAAATGTCTATTTCATTGCTAGAATTTCTTCAAACCAAGGCAGACCTGCTAGTAGCTTTAAGGTAAGGTTAAAAATTTTTGTAAAATAATTAGTGAAATCATAGAGTCACAGAGTACTAACTTGATGCTCTTAACCAACTGAAGATTTTTAGAAATGATCTAGACTTCTATGGGCCCTTTTGATACACAATCTATAAGAAATGTTCAAGTTAAATATCTGATGATCCTTTTAGGACTGCATCACTTCCAATTTTATTTTCCAGTCCCTCTTCCACTTCTAGTTCTTTTTTATTTCAGGAGTTGATATTTTTTTAAAACTTATTTGAAAATTATAATATATTTACCAAGAAATCTTTAATTATGGCAACTATACAGAATTTGAGACACAAAGGATATACAAAGGTGTTCACTTACATTCTCTACAATTATAATTTTAATTGATTAGATCATTATCATCTAAGTAAGTGCTTTTATCTCTGCCCTTAAATGCAGATATATAGCATTCTATACATGCAAAAAGCTTAATATATTCACTTAATCCAAAAACTCTAAAGCAAAATTAATTTAGTTTATCTAGCCCTAAAGTGAACCATGCAGTTTGCTCACTAATTGAACTGCTTTTCCAGAATGCTACATGTAGGAAGCGCAGATTTGTGGCTGTGGAGGCTCGATGTAACTAACTGCTGTGGCACCACAGCCTCCCCACCTGAGGATTCTAGGGTGACCATGTCTGCTAAAAATATACATGTTGGGCCTCCTGGCCCCCAATAAACCCCAGAAAACCAGGGAGGGGGGGGAATATATACACATATATATAGACACATGTTTTCAGAAACAAAGAACTGAGTACCACATGTTCTTACTCATAAGCAGACCCTGAACATTTACCATAATACTATAAGAAAGGAATTGGTAGTAGCCAGAAACTGCCATGGGAACACATAATATCAGTAAGGGTACCTGATCTCAAACCAGGTGAAGTGGGAACCAAAGGGAGGCTCAAACTTTACCTATACAATGACCACTTGTATACCTAATCCTGAATTGTACCCCACATCCTCAAAATAAAAAAAAACAAACATACACATGTGTATGAATTGTAGTTGCCTATTACAAAGGGTTAGACTACACTGCAAAAAAATTGTTAAAGGAAAAATGTAAGAAACTTCAAAATTGTTTTCAAAGAACCATCAAGTTTATAATCTGAACAACACATGACCCACCACTTTGCACCACACCTCCCTTCCTGTTGCAGACAGGCCACGAGGCTCTCCTTGACCCTGCCTTCACCAGCAGTCTCCTCCGCTCCTACACCCTGCCTTCTTGCCTCCAACCTCAGCTTTGTTGCAACAACCCTCCAAGGTCATCAAAACTCTTAATGACCAAACCCAACTGACTATGTTTAGTCCTGCCCTACTTCTTTACCTCTGCAGCTTGTGACACTCCCAAGCATATCTCTTCTCATCCTGGAAATCTGCCTCCTCGGGCATTTGTTGGCTGCTTCTCTCCTTATTCTCCTTCCTCTGGCCACTCCAGATCTCTTAGTGCATTGTTTCTTATCTTCATTCCAAATCATTTTCTACTGTATGTGTGAAATAGGATGACTTCTCAAAGTCTGCCTCTTGCCAGTAATGGAAATTCAGACCCATACTTCACTACAAGAACATGTCAAAGGTGCCATCTACTCAACTCATCTGAAACAGAACCCAGTTAATTCCTGGCCCTGTGAAACCTTTCCTTCTCTTAACTTAGCTAATAGTATCTACTATCTCAAGTGCTCAAGAAGGAACGTCACCTCCACAGCAAGACTTAACTGTTGCTAATTTCACTCTTGAAACATTTATTGAATTTATTTCTTCTCTATTTCCACTGCTAAATTTAGCTCTTTTGCTTTCATCTGAATTTCTGCAAGTCACTTTAAATCCATTCTCTATAGTGTAATGTCTCAAAAGACAAGTATCTGATCGCACCACACCTCTATTTAAAAACATACAATGCCTCCTAAAGTGAGTATGCAAGTCCTGAATTCTTTAATAATACACATGATGCCCTTTGTGGTCTGAAGTCATCTGCCAGACCATTGGATGAATTTGGGTGAGATGTCCAGGATGCTAATTCACGGTGAAGGCCAAGGGATGGTCTGGTCAGTGGGTGATTTGTCAGCCAGCGTCCACAAAGATGAGCCTTCATGGACATACTCTGAGCCCAGTGAGAATATATGCAAGACCATACACAAACGGGAGATGAAGTAAGAGTCAGGAAGTGGAAAGGGACCAGATCAAAAGAGAAACAAGCAGAGAGGATCGCAGGTGGCAGGTGACACAGGCCTATGCTCCAGGAAGAGCCCTGGCTGGCAGGCTAACACTACTGCTCTCCAGGCATCATCCACACAGTTCTCAACTACCACCTAGACCGGAGCTCTGCATCAACCTAGGAGCAGGTGGCTTCCTTAGAGACCTATCCAGTGCTTGCTGAAAGATGGCAACACTCACAATGCTGGAACAACAAACGGTGTGTGGGTTAGAGCATAAGTTTGCTTTCAAACTTGTTGAGATGCCTTTGAGACATTAACATCGACATGGACCTCACGTGTAAAACAAGGATAAACCTATCTTACAGGGCTGTTGAGATGATCGAAGGAGAAAAGATACATAGTATGCCTAGCACAGAATCTCATACACAACAGGTACTTAATAGAGGCTCCCCATGAAAAATCTTCAGAAGCTCCATAAAACTTTCAGAATAAAGTGTAAATTTCTGACGTGGCAATCAGAGACCTCTGGGATCTGGCTGATAGTCTACCTTTTCCAATTTTTTTCTCCTTGCTTCTTCCCTCAATCCTAGGCTCCAGCCTGACTGTTTCACCTGCGCCCCACATGACACAGACCCCAAACACTATATACACCTTAGTGCTCCCACAACCCGCAGCCTTTGCCTATTCAAAGCAAATTTGGCCGCCACTGAGGTCTGCCTCCAGTTCCACCTTTGTGGGAAGCTTCTCCCAATACTCTAACCCACAATTTTCTCTCTTCCTCAAATTCCTCTTTTCTGTAATATTCATGTGACATATCAAACTCAGGTTATAATGTGGGTTTTCTCATCCATGATGTCCTAACTAGACTCATAAGTTCCTATCCTGTGTCCTCCCACAGTGCCTTAACCATTGAAGGTAGTCTACAGACATTCACTAATAAAATTTTCAGTCATAACATATTAGATTTGATTAGGCACATCCACATACCTTTAAGATTTCAGTGTCTGAAACCATGGTTCCTTGTTGCTTTATTTCAGGGTCCATATTCATGGGGTCTTCTTGTTTAATTTCAGGGTTTAGATGTACAGGGGCTTCTAGCTTAACTTCAGGGTCTGTTGCTATAGGTAACTGCTGCTTGATTTCTGGAAGTATACAAATGGGAACTTCCTTCTTAGATTCGGGGTCTGTACCCATGGGAACTTCTTGTCTGGATTCGGGGTCTGTACACATGGGAACTTCTTGTCTGCATTCAGGGTCTGTACACATGGGAACATCTTGCCTGGATTCAGGGTCTGTACACATGGGAACATCTTGCCTGGATTCAGGGTCTGTATACACGGGAACCTGCCTGGATTCAGGGTCTGAATTTATGGGTATTGGCTCCTTGTCCAAAGCTATCACATCCTTGAGTTTTTGGAAAAACCATGGAGATTTCTGTCCTGGTAAAAGATATGATGCCATTCCTTTATGAAAAAGAGCTTTGTTTGGTCCCAAAGGTAGTATCTCTTCTAATTTTTTCTCACCTTGATACAAGTGAAGAACTTTAGATATATGATCTGATACAGCTAATATAATGTTACCTTTTTTGTCAAAGTTCTCTTTTGCAGAGGTGTAGGAAGACAAGCATTTGTATCGAAAACTTTCAAACATGCCCTCTGGGATTATGTCATTGCCAAGTAGGCAGGCCAGAAGAGGAAGGTCTGCCACGTTGAGACTCAAACTCTCACAGAGTTTCTCTCTACAGAGCATGACAGTGTCCAGACTATCCAAGCAGAGCTCACTAATTGAAAAGTAGGGACAAGTGTCATAGATTAAGTAATCAGTGTCTTCCCCAAGAATCCCAAGGCAGTTATGCTGGAGACCATAGGAAGCCACCTCATAGTCAGCCTCTTGTAATGAACAGAAGGTTTCCTGACCCAGCGTCTTTAGAGCAAATCGTGTAAATATGGCTAGCCCTGAGGGGATGAAGAACATGTTTCTGCCTGGCTGCTCCTTGTGGGACTTGACGTAATGAAAAATCCTGGATATCTCCCTGTTGTTCTTGAGTCTTCGTTTCACCCATTCATCTCTCTTGTCTTGCTCCACCATGCCATCAAAGAAGAATACCAATTTGATGCCAACAGCTGTAAAAGTTCTAACAAAATCTTGCAAGGCAGAAAAGTATTCTCGCCATTGGCCACCGCAGATCCAAGATTCTGGAGTATACCAGTACCGGAGGCAGCACATGGCATCCACCACAATGGTAGGAGTGCTCCCAGGGTGCTTGCTGCGGTGGTGCTCTGCCAGCTCTCTGAAATTCACCACTGTGCATATATGTGGGCAGGTACTTCCCACAAACCCTTGCAAACCTCTCACACCCATAACTGAACTCTTGGAAAGGATCTGGAGAGAAAAATAAATTAGTAATTATGGCATTACACTGGACATATGGCACCTTTCAAAGCAAACACAATACAATATTTAATATTCACTAGTTCCAAAAACTCTTGTCTTTGAGGTAACATGATATGGTGGTTAGGAGTCTATGGAGTTTTCAATTAAAACACATGAGAAACTTTACCTAAGTTCTCAGGCAGTTCCCAGAGTTACTTGAGTTGGACTTTCACAAGGTCAAGAGTGTAGCAGTCTTTTAAGACTGTCACTAAGGCTATTAATCAAGGTATTTTTCAAACAAACTCAGAAAGCGGTTAATAGTTTTCAAAGTAGTAGTATTTCTCATCTAGGAACTAAAATAGAAGTTATTGTTAACAATTTAAAACATAAACTGAAACACACATGAATAATTCTAAAAATAATTTCTCTGAGTAAAAGAAGCCAGACCAAAAACAACAACAAAAAAAAGAGAGCACATGCTATAATTCTTCTTATATAAATTCTAATTCACTGAGAGCTAAGCTCCTGTAATGACAGAAAGCAAATCAGTGGTTGCCTGGGATGAGGGCAGATGGAAGAGAGGGCATACTGGGAACTCTTTCAAGGATAACAGATATGTGTGCTACTTGGTGATGATGGTTTCACAGGTGACCATGTATGTTAAATCTTACCAAAATGTATGCTGCAAACATGTTCCATATACACCTCAATAAAGGCGTTCAAAAAGCTACATGCTGCTGGATATGGTGGCTCATGCCTATAATCTCAGCACTTTGGGAGGCTGAGGTGAGAGGATTGCCTGAGCCCATGGGCTCAAGGCCAGCCTGGGCAACTTGGTGAGTCCTCAGCTCTACAATAAATCAAAGAATTAGCCGGGCATGGTGGTACATGCCTGTAGTTCAATCACTTGGAAGGCTGAGGTAAAGGATCACCTGAGTCCAGTAGGTTGAGGCTGCGGTGGCCATCAGCATGCCACTGCACTCCAGCCTCGGTGACAGAGTGAGACTCCAACTCAAAAAAAAAAAAAAAAAAAAAGTGACATGCCAAATGGTGTAATATTTGAGACAGCAACTGACTGACTTTGAATGGAAAACTGCGCATTCTAAAATTTAAAAAGAGGTATAAAGTAGTTCACAGGTAAGAATTCAGAATGTGGAAAAGATATAAGCAAAACACTTTATATAATAAGATGTCCATATATATAAGATGTAAAAGGCATTTTCAAGTAGGCAATAATGTCCACCAGTAGTCAGAAAAAGTTCTATGATGACTCTTTCAATCTTTTTTTTTTTTTTTAAAGACAGGGTCTTGTTCTGTCTCATGAGCTGGAATGCAGTGGCGCAATCATAGCTCACAGTCTCAAACTCCTGTCCTCAAGCTATCCTCCCATCTTGGCCTCCCAAAGTGCTTGGACTCCAGAGGCGAGCCACTACGCCCGGCCACATTTTTAATCTTAATGACCTTCCCCCCCCCACTATAGTTTTCTTAAAGAGTCACCAGTGCTTTGTAGTCTGATAAAACACAACAAAAAATTCTTAATATGCAAATAACAACATAAAACAAATGATGCCTCTCTTAGAATTAGAACTGAGGACAGCAGTCATGAGCTGACTAGGCACATCATCACAACATCTTTCATATCACAGTGTACTCACCAGCTAACAGACAGACTGGGCATTTAACATATAGAAGCTTTAACCTTTAAAACAACTCTGACAGGTAAAAATGATCAGGTCTATTTTACAAATGAAGAGCTTGTAAATAAATTATAAGGTTGAGAAGAGACATCCTCACAAGACTACCTTTTATTGTTTATTATTATTACGATTATTATTATTATTTTGGTTGGGGTCAGTGGCTTACACCTATAATTCCAGCACTTTGGACGGCTGAGGTGAGAGGATGGCTTGAGCCCAGGAGTTAGAGACCAGCCTGAGCCACATAGCAAAAACTCATCTCTACAAAAAATAAAATAAAATTAGCCAGGCATGGTGGGGTCCCACTTACTCAGGAGGCTGAGGCAGGAGGATTGCCTGAGCCTAGGAGGTAAAGGATGAGTTGTGATTGTACCACTGAACTTCAGTCTGGCTGACACAGAAAAAAGAATTTACTAATTTTTAATGGGCACTAGCCTCTAACAGTGGAATTTAAAGGTACCTGGCTAATACTCATTAATACTGACAATATTTTGCAAAAATTGGGTGGACAAGTCGGGCTCGGTGGCTCAGCCTGTAATCCCGCGACTTTGGGAGGCTGAGGTAAGTGGATTGCCTGAGCTCACGGGTTTGAGACCCACCTGGGCAACTTGGTGAGCCCTCATCTCTACAATAAATCAAAAATTAGCCGGGAGTGGTA